AACAGTCCACTACTAACCATCTTTAAAAACGGTAAGTTCTGCAATTGAGTGTGATTTTTTTCCAATTCTTTTTCAAAACATGAAGCAGCCGAAACCAGTTTGGCTCAGTGGATAGAACGTCGGCCTGTGGCGGACTTAAGGGTCCCGGATTCGATTCTGGTCAAGGGCATGTACCTTGGTTGTGGGCACATCCCCAGTGAGGGGTGTGCAGAAGGTGGCTAATCAATGTTTTTCACTCATCGATGTTTCTGACTCTCTATCCCTCTTCCTTCCTCTCTGTGAAAAGCAATAAAATATATTTTTTTAAAAACATGAAACAGACCATCACTGCCAGGGCCTGACAATTTGCATTCCATTCAGGCATCCATTAGCAAGTATTCACGAAGCCCCAGGTCACAGCTGCTGGGAGAAAGAGGTATAGAGCAAGCAGCCTGGCCCCAGCACTGGGCCCAGCTCCTGAGGACTCCAGGCCCAATCCAGCCCATGGTTTCCCTGATTCCAAGGCGGCCAGAGATTATACATCAAGAGCACACAAGACCGCTGGTTTAGCAGAAAACTGGGGTCAAAACCACAAAACACCTGGTGATGACAGCTGGTAGGCCAAGGCCAGGAGAGGAAGCTCAGCTTCGTCTACCGGGCTTAGCCCACAGGACGCTTCACATACTTGCCCAAAGACAACCAAAACTGGAAGGAGAGAGAACACAACTTTGAGGTAGATGCCTAACATAACCTCTTTTTTTTCTTTTTTTAGTTTAATTACACAGCATATGAGAGAACTGAGATGATTTTAATGGGCCAAAAGTCTGCCTAGCATTTGAAGCAATACTAACCAAAGTCTGTTTCTCTATCCTCTGCCAATAGCAGGTCTCTTCAGGAAAAACTGGATTAGTACAATATCTAAGCCAAATAATAAAAGAAAGCACCCCCCCCAAAATTAAAAATAATCATATGTCCAGGAATTTCACTTGTGGGAATTTACCCAAAAGAATCGAAAGCAGAGATTCAGATATCTGCACATCAATGTTCATAGCAGCATTATTCATAATTGCCCAAAGTGACAATCTCCCATGTGTCCATCAACAGATAAATGCATAAGCAACATATACATAAAATAATAATATTCAGACTTACAAAGGACATTTTAACATACTACAACATGAATAAACCTCTAAGACATTACACTGATTGAAGTAAGCCAGTCATCAAAGGACAAATACTATATGATTCCACATATATGAAGTACTCAGAGTAGTCAAATTCATAAAGACAAGAAGTAGAATTATGGGGTGATCATATTGTAAGGTATAAAAATATCAAACCACTATATTTTAACTACTAATTAAATACCACTGGTCTTTCAGATTAAAAAAAAAAATTTTTTTTTTCCAGCCCTAGCCAGTTTGCTTAGTGGTTAGAGTGTCAGCCTGTGAACCACAGTGTTCAATTCCCAGTCAAAGGCCATGTACCTCAGTAGCAGGCTTGGGGCACATTCAAGGCAACCAGTCAATGTGTCTCTCTCATATTGATGTCTCTCTCTCTCCCCCCTCCTCCCTCTCTTCCACTAGCTCTAAAAATCAATGGAAAAATATCCTTGGGTAAGGATTAAAAGAAAATAAAATTCCTAAGACAGAAAGTAGAAGGAGGCTGTCAGGGGCTAGGGGATAGTGGCATTGCGAGTTATTATTTAATGCAGTGGTTGCCAACCTTTCGGACCTCACGGGCCACCAGTGGTCTGCAGACCACCAGTTGGCGACCGATGGCTTAATGGGCACAGATTTCAGAACACAGGGAAAATGTTCTGTGGATGATGGCAATGATGGCTGCACAAGAATGTGAACGTAATTAATGACATTTAACTAACCATTTAAAAATGATTAAAATGAGCCCTAGCTGGTTTGGCTCAGTAGCAGAGCTGTCAGCCTGCAGACTGAAGGGTCCCAGGTTTGATTCCGGCCAGGGGCACACGCCTGGGTTTCGGGCTCAATCCCCCATGGGGGTCATGCAGGAGGCAGCCGGTCAATGATTCTCTCTCATCACTGATGTTTCTCTCTCTCTCTCTCCCTTTCCCTTCCTCTCTAAAATCAATAAAATATATTTTTAAATGGTTACAATGATAAATTTTGTTATGTATGTTTTATCTCAGTTAAAAACAAATTGTTCAAAGCATCTTATAAACTCAACAAGTTTAAACTCAGAAGCTATAAAGCCCAACCCCTGAAGCTACTCATGTCATTGAACAACTTCAAAACATTTCTCCGGGCCATCCAATAACTAACTAATATAACCAAATGCATCAAAAAAGGCAAGTTGCAATACATTCAGAGACCAGACACAAACAGCATTCTGCAATTTAAAATATAAGCCAAAAGGAAGACATTAAAACAATATACAAGAATTACCTAACAGCCACAGTGCAAAAGCTAAGGGATCATCTCTGAAAATTTTAAAAAAATAAACAGGGCAGGAATAGAGGACAAGAGAGGACATAAGGTGACCACAGAAAAATGTTGAAAAATAAAAAAAAAATTCTCCCTGACTGTAAAAGTTGTTGTAAAACCTTGAACAGTAGATATGAAACTGTTTATAACTCAATAAAAATCCAACTCAAGTTCAACCTAATTGCGATGACAATTAGCCAAAGTGCATTGAGGGAGAGAGCGTGAGCCGAAGCTGGTCTGGCGCAGTAATCAGAGCCTCAGTCTGCAGACTGACGGGGCCTAGATTTGAACCCAGTCAAGGGCATGCACCTCGGCTGCAGGCTTGACCCCCCAGCCCTGCCTGGGGTGCATGTGGGAGGCAACCTATCCATGTGCCTCTCTCACATCAATGTTTCTCTCTGTCTCTCCCTCTCCCTTCCGTTCTCTCTAAAAATCAATAGAAAAATATCCTCCGGTGAGGATTAAGAAAAAAACAAAACTGATTAAGATGGATGCTAATTCTTAGAATTGTACTAAGTCTTATTCTTCCAATATGGAAATACATTATCAAACTTTAACCATGCCTATAACCTCATATGGCCGTTCACATTTTGGTTTGTGCAACTCTAGTGAATTTTCCAGTGTGGATTTTTAAATTTTCTGCTATGTTCTTATTACCATCCTTCTCTCTCTGAGCTGCATCTCCTGCCCCTTAAATGTAGCTGCCAAAAAGCTGCTACTGTCTAAATTCCAACAAGGAAGGACAATAAATGGAGCAGAGGTTATCTCCAAGTTCTGGGTAAGAGAAAAGCATAGTATAAGGAGAGCAGGAAGCATAGGTTGTCACTCTTCATTTCTCCACCAGCCCTCTCCAAAATTGTTAGATCATTACTATAAACTAATATATTGGCAGGTATAGAAGGTGAACAGGCAGTAGTCAAGGAAAGTGCTATCATTCATTTAAGAAAAAAGCAAAGGCAAATTTATATACTTAAGAGAAAGCAGACATACTGCAATCAGGTAGAAATTATTATGTCAGCATAAAACTTAGGAAAGAGAAGTGAACAAAATCTGTCAGCAATGCCAGTAATTTTTCAAAGAATGGCCCACATCAGCTTTGCCACACTCTGTATATGAAGTGCCTTTGTGATCCTTGACTCCGAGGCCACCAAGCCACTTTCTCATCATTACTCTGATTTCCTAGGGGTTTCAATTCCAGGAAGAAGAGCCCTGGAGAGGGAATATAAGTATCCCAATCACTGGGAGCTGTTCCACTGATTGCAAGTGGAACTGGCGGCTGGCTTACAGTGCTCACAGCGTGATTACCCATCAGACTCAAGGAGGAGCCTCAGATCCAGATTGTTGCAGAGGCAGGCAAAGGACCTCCCGAGACCCCGGTCACAGTCCTCCTGCTAACGGAGCTACTCTAAAACAGCTACGAAGTCTGAGCACAGCCTTGCCAAACCTCATTTTAACATAGAGAAAATCTGCATAGAAAAATAAACTTTCTTTTTAAAATGATTAAAAATAATCTCCATAATTGAATGAGTTGCATATTCCACTGGATCTAAGACACTGGTTGTAAAACGCAACATTATAATGTATATGGAAAAAAACTGTCAATTCAATTGTCACAATATTAATCATTGATTTTAAGACATTCTGATTTCAGAAATGTTAAAAATGTGAAAAAACGTTATTTTAGAATCGATGAAATACATTTAAAAATGTATTCTTTAGAGTCTCTTAAATTGACATTCATAGTCGGTATAGCACATTCTTGAAGCTATCAATTTTGTTTCACTTCTCATTTGAAATGAAGAAAGGGGTGGCACTTACATTAATTTCTAGCATTCATCTTACAGACTTTAAAACTTAGGGATTCCTAGTTTGAAAGTAGTCTCAGTTTCACTTACAGAATCAGAGATAAGAGCTGAGGTACACGAGGCCTAGGTAAGTTAGGTGACAGGAGTCCAGGCCGTAGGGCAAGGGAGCGGCCGCCAAGGCTTGAAGCCAGGTCTCTAGGGCCCTGTTCTGTGCTCTCTTCCCAGAAATCAGACATCCAATGAGGCATGAGCGTTCTTCGGTCCAACACTACAGATAGGGTAAAACATAAACCATCTCTGTCCTTTGTCAAAGAGGCCATTTAAAAAAAAAAAAAAAAAAAAAAAGAGGCCATTTTATGAAATGACACTCTTCAACTTCCCTGGTAGGATACTGATGATTGATAACTTGTTCAACTAGTCAATTCAACTAGATGGTTTCACTCTATTAAAACACCACCCAACTTCTCAAAAACAAATGCCTTCTTGGCATGCTCTGAGCGGTGAAGACCATAAAATACCACCTCATGAGCCCCAGGCCAAACACTAGCCTGACTCGATCCTGCTGAGACCAGTGATTCTTTAGGGAAGACTCTGGGGATTACTGAACGTATCAAACCTTTGCAGCATTTGCTGCATACAGACACAGACATTTTGATCCCCAAAGCATGTTGAAAGTCTGCTCATGCTCTGCTCGAACGGGCCTCTGGAGAACTGGCAATTATTCAAGGAAGTCCATAAATAATCCACCTTCTCTGTGTTAGTCCCTCTTGTCCTGGCTTCTTGCAGGGCGATTCCCAGGGGACTTGCCGGCAGTCACTGGAGAGAACTCGCACACTAACGCATCGGAGTGGAACTGGCTGGAGACTTCGGCGGTGGACTCCACCACAGCATTTCTAGCCGTCTCTTCTACAGAAATCCTCATGGCGTCATCCATTTCAATCACTTCAAAATCCATTGCATTCCATCTCTCTGCATCATCTTCTTCATCCTCCTCCTCCTGGTCATTTAGCCCAGAGCTGGAGAGCAACGATTTCTGGTCCTCGCTTTTCCTGTGTTCTTTCTGCTGACGACTGAGGGGTGAGGTGGCCAATTTATACATCACAGGAAATAAAACGGCCGTGGCTACTGCTGACCCCAGAGAGGTATACATAACGACAGGCAGGTCAGGGTATCTGCCTTGAAGAATCCCAATGACCCCAGGAATAGCCATTTCTCCCAGGGCAGCACCCACGACAAAAAACGCCGCGGCTTTCCCGCGGATGGTCGTGTACTGCTCAATCCACGAGATGCCGCTGGGGAACGTGGTTGCCATGGAGGCCCCGTACACGGATGTCGCGATCCACAGACAAATGGGGCTCTTGTTGAAAAGCACCAGGAGCAGAGAGGACAGCAGGCTGCCGATGTTGCTCAACACAATCATGGTTCCAGGCTGTAAACACGTAGCAAAGAAGATGGCCAGGCCCCTGCAGGTGGCAAAGGTCCCCCAGAAGATGGAGTTCAGCCCGGCCGCTTCGCCCTCCGTCATGCCAGCATGCGTGGTTGCAAATGAGAAAATGTAAGAGCCATACGTCACTTCGGCTCCAACATAAAAAAAGAAAAACAGGAAGAGGAGACAGAGAAGTGCGTTGTGATATTTAGCTCTTCGAGACCTCTGAGCGGAGGTCTTTGCTTTTTCCTGCTGTGATCTCTTTGTGAAAAGCAGAGCAAAAAGGAAGATAGACACTACAAATATGTAAGTAGCGATAACAGCATAAGCCCACAGTAAACTCATATTGTCCGGTACTCCAAACAGAGGCTCTGAGTCGGCTTCAGGTGACAGGCGAAGGGCAGAGCGGTTCCCGGCGGCCTGGGTGTGGTTTTCGGCAGACGCTGGCGGGCCCAATGCCAGCTTAGCCAGCAGTGGGGCCAGAAAGGCACCCAAGGCAAAACTGAAGTGTAAGGCCTGCATATGCGGGGCTCCTCTGTCCCCCCAAATAGCCAAGATTAAGACGTTACCACCTACCAATGAAAGGTGAGAAAAATTATTTACCATAGTGACTTAGTAAAACAAAACTAAAACAGTTCATTACTATCAGAAAGAAGATGGGTCTACTTGACATGGCACAAGGATTATAATACTCTAAGTTATCAAATGTTGCAACTAAGTCAATTCCATGATCAAGGAACACTAAGCCGTCAAGAGAACTCCAAGCACTGTAACATCAAAAACTCACAAACGGAATTCTACGAGCTGGTAAACCACTACCTCCTTGAACCAGGCACATTCTCCTAAGGCTGTTTATAAAACAGTTCCAATACCAGCCTAGGGGGTGGGAAGATATGCATACATTTATGTGTAAACATTTTAAATATATATTATCATCAGGTCATGGCCAAATTACCAACTCTTTCTGTACTTGCGATTGACAGTCACTTGAGAATATTATTTATGTAGATAGCAGATGGAAAACACATGTTCAGAAACCCAAACACTATAGGATCCTTGCACCTGCAGGTACACTATCCACACACCCAGCGAGGTGAAAGGCAAGAAGCATCAAGTCTTGAATTTTTCTTTCTCTTTCTTTCTTTCAATATATTTGCACATAAATTCCACCCTGTAATTTCACAACCAAACTAAGCCTAAAGTATAAAATACTTTCCCCTCCTATCAAATAACAGTTGAGTGGGGAAGAGGAGGGAAAAGCTGGTTTTAGGAGTGAACAAATGTCATGTATGTTATTTTGTAGGTTTTAAAACATATCAAGGTACATGATACATGGAGAAGAACTCCTGCAGGAAGGACGGGGCTTTTAAGAGAAAAGGGAGAGAAGAAACATAATACATAGCACAGGTTTCTCTGGGTCTGAAAGGCAGAGTGCGTTTTAAATTCAAGAGCTGCTTCTATGATTTCTCAGCGAAACAATCGTTCCAAACTTGGTTCAACCTATTGACCCATCAGTGCTTCCCGTACTACAACGATCCAGTTACACCCCAACATGAAAACGTGCTCATCTGCACTGAGTTACCTGCATGGGGAGTGCGGAACAGGGCCCTATTCAGATACTGTCAATCAATCATCACTCACAGACCACAATTATTTAAATTCACTGCGGCTGGCTGCTCAAACACAGGTGCCCTGTTTGACAGAAAGAGTGCTTGCCAGAAGGGGAGTTCTGACTAGGGGACCCCATAAACACCTCGGTAGGCCAGTGCCTGCCAGTGACAATTTAGCATCATCGGCTCTGCTTTTTCTAGTACACATTCTTTGTCCCGCAGATGACGCTGAAAAGCTCACTAACCTGTATCCAGAATACCCATGGAAGCACCGAAGACGGATGTCATGACAATCAGTAACACTGCAGTCTTACAAAATGGGACAAGATAGAGACTGACTGTGGTAGCCAACATCGATACCCCTGAGGAGAAAGGTGAAAGTCAGCTGTAAGAAACCAGGTTCGTGCGAAGAGGCATGGATCAAGTCAGCATGTGAGAAGTCACTTCAGTTACAAGCTTTTAAATCTTTATGGGCTATAAAAATTATTTGAACTTGAATGCATTTCTAGCACTGCTAATAATCAAACTATAAATTATACCACAAGGCAAAGTTTTATAGCAAAACAGACAGCTCTAAAATCATTTACTTCAATATTTCATTGAAGTAAACCTAAAGAGAATTTTAGATCTGAGGTTAAAAAACAAAAAGGTAAAAAATAAAATGCAATTACGATAGTAGGCTGCAGTAGAAATTGACTAAATACGTTATTTGGAGACTAGGGAGGGAAATCAAAGAAGTATATTCTTTCAACACATCTGGAAATCAGAGGATTACTTATTTATTCATCAACAATAGTAAATTATTTTCCTTTTTTCCAAAGCAGTTTTATCACATAAATCCAAACTTTCTGTGAGCATGTCAATTTATTTTAAAAAGAGTAAGTTAAAAGCTTTGCCATCTCTTTCAAGGGTGAGGGAGAAAGGTCTGGGGCCATCACTGACATGGGGGAGCAGGGACAAAAATTTAGCTTATGTCATTTCATTTCACCCCCCCTCTGCCCCCTCCATTCTCAGCTCACGGGTTAGCTTAGGCAGGTTCAACAAACTCATTTTGATCTACAATGACCCCAGATCTGCCCTCCATCTGACAAGCAGAGCCCTTTGACAGCTCTGTGATCCGGGGGTGGGCCTAAATGACAATGCCAAGGACCGCTCACACGCAGTAGGGCTGAATCACCAGAGCGGCCAGCACAGGTTCCCGGAGCGGCAGGCAGCAGGGAAACTGCCTTCTCCTGAGGAGGCCTACCACCCACGTAAGTTGTCAACCACTCTGCAAGCTGGTATGTTTCCAACTTAAAAACAAAATTATAAATTCCTGAAAGTCATAAAGAAGGTAAATTTACTTACCCAAAAGTAGAAAGGGATTCATACAGTCAAAAAGAACTCCACCAATCACAGAGCCAGTCAAATATCCAGTCGCGCGGCCCACAAAAATCAGAGAAAGACTGCTGATATTACGGTTTACGTTTGCCGCCAAATCTTGAAACGTGGGTCCCAGGATAGCGATGCTCAATCCCTAAGATTTTAAAAGACAAAAGATTTTCTTTACAACCATTAAAATAATGCCTACCTATGTGGTAGCTTTTTCCCACTAGTTTCAGTGCGCCAACTCCTACTGTTTTCCTAGTTTTAACAGCTCCCAATTTTTTAAAGAAATTCTTTTAATTCTTTTGGCTTTTGCTACCATTGTTTCCTTTTTGGACGATACCATAAAAGACTGTTTTGTATTAACAGTAAAATGTAACATTAAGATAATTTTTGAAATAGTTCTATATATTTTGAAACATAGTACATGCACAAATAATGGACACAAGAATTTAGATGTTGCAATTTTTAACTATTAAACCATCAAAATATTATTCCCCTTTTTGATGTTGTTAAAGTAAACGATAATATGTGTAATCTAACAAGCAAACTGAACTATCAAGCAAAAGAGAGACAGATCCATAGCGAGAAAGCAGGCAACAGCCAGAGGGATAGAGGGGGGAAAAAGAAGAAGAAAGAATTCATGGACTTGGACAACAGTGTAGTGACTGAGGGTGGGGGAGGGGGTGCATGGAGGAGGAAGAGGATATAGGGAGATATATGGTGATGGAAAAAAATAAAGAGGAAAAAAATATTTACTAATATATTCCAGCCACAGGCTGGGACCTCTTGTGCTAACATTTCCAGCCCAAACGCCAGAAAGACAGTGGGAATGCAAAACCAGCAGTCAAATGAAGCCCTTAGGTGAGGAGGAAGGAAGAAGAGGTGGGGGGTGGGGAACAGACAGCAGTATTTCCAGATGCACATGAGGTCGGTGACTCCTTTGAATAATGGCAAATAAAACACGCAGGAGATAAACAATTTAAACATTTATAAACCTACGTTTTCCTTCAAAGAAAACCCCATGCCATCAGTACTATCTAGAAGGCTTTCTTTGAGAATATTACATACACGTGTAAACAATTACTTTAAAAATAAAATTTTACTCAAAGACAGTGTAGTGTTGGCAAGAAATAAGGGTTACTGTTGGCTTTCAGAGGAAATCTGTCGAACACTTAAAAAATATTTCTAATTGGTCTACATGTCAAGAATAATTTTTTGCATCATTATTTACAACAACCAAGATTTGGAAGCAGCCCAAGTATCCAGTAGAGGAGTGGATTAAAAAAAGTTGTGGTGCCTTTACACAATGAAATACTACTCAGCCATAAAAAGAAGAAGGAACCCTTACTCTTTGAAACAGCATGGGTGAACTTGAAGAGCATTGTGCTAAGTGAAATAAACCAGTCGGAGAAAGACAAGTACCCTATGATCTCACTCATATGTGGTATCCAATTAACAAAATGAAGTAACAAGCAGAATACAGAGCAGCCTGACAGCTGTGGGGTAGAGGGATTGAGCAAAAAGGAGAAAAAGCTCATGGACACATACACAACAGTGTGGGGAGGGGGAGGAGAGAGGAGGAGAGTAGAGGGTGAAATGGTGATGGAGGCCTGACTTGGGGTGGTAAGTACACAATACAGTGTACAGATATGTTGTCAGAATTGTGCACCTGCAACATAAATATCGCTAACCAATAACACCCCAATAAATTCAATCAAAAGGTGGGAGAACAACTGTATTCCCATTGCCCTGCTCTGAAGGCTGGCTGCGCCCCTCCGGGCCCAGCTGGAGCAGCCCCCAGGACGGGCACAGAGGAAGCCGGGGAGGGAAGGCTGGGCCACCAGCTGTAACCAGTTTCTGCCTTCAAAGCATTGACTACAGGATCTGGCCCGCAGTCAGGGGTCACCAAGCGGCTGCAATCATTCTTCTTTTCTCAACTCAGACTATTCTAAGAATCAGTGATGGCTCTGAGAAAGACGCTAGGTCAGTGGTCGGCAAACTCATTAGTCAACAGAGCCAAATATCAACAGTTACAAGGATTGACATTTCTTTTGAGAGCCACATTTTTTTAACTTAAACTTCTTCTAATGCCACTTCTTCAAAATACACTCGCCCAGGCCGTGGTATTCTGTGGAACAGCCACACTCAAGGGGCCAAAGAGCCACATGTGGCTCGCGAGCCGTGGTCTGCCCTAGGTGACCAGACTCACCCTCTCCACGCCCCAGGGTCCCAACATGCAAGACGAGTTAGGAGGGGTAGGCTTCCCGGAATAAGGAAAAGGCGGGGTTTGGCCAAAGGAACGTCCAGCCTTGCAGCTAGCTCTAAGAAAAACACCGCAGCACCTGAAGGTTTGCTTTACACGGAGTCGTGGGTAAAATAAGAGAGACGTTACTCCTGGCTCTGCCTCTTAACTGACTGTGTCGTGGGCAACAGTCACTTTCCCTCTCTGGCTATATTTCCCAAACTGCAAAAAAAAAAAAAAAAAAAAAAAAAAAAAAAAGGAGGTTTGGCTGACTGTGGTGAGAAGAGAAAATCCCAGAAAAGCAGTTTTGTAATAATTTGAAGGAGGGGGGGGGGGGGACAGCCCCACGGAGGAGGGGTCGCAAGGTTTGCTGAAGCTGGAAAAAATCAACCACGCTCTTGACAATAACCCTCCGAGAACAGAGCTGTGCCCATTTTCCGGATCACCAAACTGAGGCCCCGGCAGGTGAAGGTGCCAAGGGCACACCGTTTGCCAGTGGCGGAGGGGGTGAGACCACAGTCCCCGCGGGCCGCCCGCTCCTGCCCCGACCCGGGAGGGTTCCGGCCCCGCTCTCACCAGCCCCAGGAAGGAAGCGCACAGGATGGCGGTGATGAACCAGCGCAGCGAGCTGCCGGCCCCGCCGCCCCGCCGGGAGGCTGCCGCCGCCGCCGCCGGCTCATCCTCCCCGGGCGCCTCGGCCTGCAGGAGCCGCTGCCCCGCAGCCGGGGGCCCGGCCCCGCGGAGCTCCACTTCCAGCTCCAGCTCGGCGGCGGCTCGGGAGCAGCGGTCTGGCTGCTGCCGCCCGGCTCCTCAGCGGGGCTGGGCGCAGCCTCGGCCTCCGGGCCGCTCCGTGCCCGCTGGCGCCCCCTCCCCGGAGGCGGAGCCCGGCCGGGGCGGCCCAGTCCGACTTTGGAACCCGCCGGCGGCCGCGGGCTGCGCGCGCACCCCGCCGGCACCTGCGCGATCACGTGGCGGAAATGCGCCCTCTTTCCCAGGCTGCGCTGCAAACAAGCTGTTGACGTCGTTGCCTAGGAGACCGGGCACGCTCTCCGGTCTTAGCGCATAGCTGAGCCCACAGAGGCCCGCGGCTGGCGCCCCTGGCGGAGCGAGCTGGAGCTGCAGCCTGGGCCCGGTGAATCCGGAGGTGAGACAAGGCTGCCATAGGGTCCCTCGGGGCCGCCTGTCCGCGCAAAGGGAGCTCGAAGTCCTGGCCTTTAAACAGCTCTCTAGCTGAAACCGGTTTGGCTCAGTGGACAGACCGTCAGTCCGCGGACTGAAGGGTTCCGGGTTCGATTCCCGTAAAGGGCATGTACCTTGGTTGCGGGCACATCCCCAGTAAGGCTGTGCAGGAGGCAGCTGGTCGATGTTTCTCTCTCATTGATGTTTCTAATTTTCTTTTCTTTTTTATATATTTTTATTGATTTTTTACAGAGAGGAAGGGAGAGAGATAGAGAGCTAGAAATGCCGACTGGGGATGAGCTCGCAACCAATGTACATGCCCCTGACCGGAATCGAACCCGGGACCTTTCAGTCCGCAGGCCGACGCTCTACCACTGAGCCAAACCGATTTCGGCATGATGTTTCTAATTTTCTATCCCTCTGTCTTCCTCTCTGTAAAAAAATCAATAAAATATTTTTTTTAAATAAAAAAATAAACAGCTCTCTAAAATTCTTCTGCTGTCGAGACCTATCGCCCATGAATCTGTCGCTTATCTGTCACTTAACATTTGTTGTAACTCACATGTAAGCGTTCACATGTCTGGCCTCATTTATCCCTCATAACAACCGTGTAAGAAGTGCTGTGTGATCCTCGTGGTGCAGAGAGGAGGAGAAAGACAGAGAATTCAGCCGCGGCCCCAGCTCGGGCAGCAGGCCAGGAGCTGCATGGACAGCGTAATGATAGCTCTGCTCACCAATCCCTGCAGCCAAGCCCATTGTTTTAGGAACTGGAGCGGGGCATCGATTTGCAGGATCCCTGGGTGCAATTATGCCAGCAGAGAAGGTTTGGCCTTTTGCTCTTTGACAAACAGACCACAGACTCAACGTGTGTGGATATTTTTCTCTATCGTCTATTTTGCACCTGATTCTCTCTCATCCACTTAGGCTCCCAGACTACAAACCTGAGTCTCATTAGCATTTCCCTTCCCATGCCGCCCCTGAGCGGCATGCACTAGGGTCAGTGATTCCCTTCCCATCCTACCCCAGATGCTATGACTTACAAGAACCTGTTTTAGATTTCAGAGCCAGGAAAGGTCTCTCTGAGGAAAGTTTGATCTGGTTGAAAAGAAAGGTATCTGTAACCTAACAGCCCAGTCTATTAAAACCAACGCTCACACAGATTTTATTTTTGGTCAAGATAATGTTTATGTTTGTGCTATGTACTTTGAAAAGTTGGAAATACTTTTTTAAAAGATCTGACATCAGTGTGTTTTACATCATTAATATTTTTAATTAAAAATAAAAAATTACTGATTTTTAAATTAAATTTTCTTTTAAAAAGGTAAACGGACTTTCCGTTAGCTGGATTCGTAACATTTAAGACTTCGGGACTCTGAACCTACCATCGTAATGGTCTCCTGTGTTGTACTGATCAATAAAGTCTTTGCTGTGCTGTACTGTTTTTAGCCAAAACCAATGTATCAAAGGAATAAAAAACAAAGCAACCAAAATCGAGAGTGGGGAAAGGGAAGGGAAGAAGGGGAGGGACCCGGGTAGGTGCTCTCCGCGTGACTCGGTCTTCCTCCCATTCTACACAGAGG